ACTGAAGCTTAAGGGAAGCATAGAATTCATCCAGCTCGGCCACCATCTGATATTCCTTTCACTTACACAACAATGCCCCTCAAACCAGCAGAGGCAGTTTATCTTCTCCACGATCGGAACCAGATGATCAGCCACTGGTCCGATGGATCAGGCAAACAAGGGGGACTCTGACCACCCTCAGGCTGGATCAATTTGTGGAGCAGTCTCAGCTAATTCCACGAATGTTGCCCTAATGGCGGATGCATCACGGTGCATTTTCTATGGGTCCCAGTTTCCTGCCCTTCTTGGTTCCTTTGTGAAACTGTCCCTGGGCAGACTGCAGGGTCGAGTGCCAGAAGAGAAAATCCGTGGCGTGTGCGACCCCCTTACCTTGCCCCTGGCCTTGGGAAGGTATCAGCAGACCAGCTGGCACTGTTTCCAGTGAGCCCCACTATGGGATCAGGTCTCTTTTTAATTTTTTTAAAATATGTTTCTATTGATTTCAGAGAGAAAGGGAGAGGGAGAGAGAGATAGAAACATCCATGATGAGAGAGAATCATGGATCGGCTGTCTCCTGCACGCCCCACACCGGGGATCGAGTCTGCAACCGGGGATGTGCCCTGACTGGGAATTGAACCGTGACCTCCTGGTTCAGAGGTCGATGCTCAATCACTGAACCATACTAGCCAGGCAGATCACGGCTCTTTTTCAACCCTGTGGTCCAGCGGCCACTCCTAGTCCATCAGCTTAACGGGGAGAGTGACACAGACTTGCCTTCCTGGTCTAGGAAACAGGCCTGCAGGGGAACTGCCATCAGAAACAGAGGCAGCTTGCAGGCCCACCATCTCACCCAGGGACGTGCTGACTGAGGTCTTGGTAGCCAAAGGCATGGAAGGAGGCCTCAAGCCCATCAAGTCCACACCAACAGCCTCTGGTTAAGTATGCACGACCCAGGGCAGTGGTCGGCAAACTCAGTAGTCAACAGAGCCAAATATCTGTTTGAAATTTCTTTTGAGAGCCAATTTTTTTAAACTTAAACTATATAGGTAGGTACATTGTTATTAACTTAATTAGGGTACTCCTAAGGCTTAGGAAGAGCCACACTCAAGGGGCCAAAGAGCCGCATGTGGCTCGCGAGCCGCAGTTTGCTGACCACTGACCCAGGGCCTTGCACCCTGTTAGTGCCTAATGAATGCTTGGTTGATGGAATCCGTGTCCTATTTCATCTGCCTTTAATTGAAGTCAGAGACAAAGAAGCAAAAGAGTGTAAAAATGAAGTCATCATGGCTTTCAGCTGTCATGGTTTGCATTAAAATAATTAGAGGAAGGAAGAAAAAAGCCTCTCTGGTTGATGAATTTTCAGTTTTCACCAGGAAATTCATTTTTAATTGTTATTCTTTTTTTTAAAGATTTGAAAACATGATATAATAAAAGGTTACCCTGGAATGTCCCCAAGGTTACACAGAAATGTTTTATTTTTTTTTAATTATTATTTTTCTCTGTTAATCCTTCTCCGAGGATATTTTTCCACTGATTTTTAGAGACAGCGAAAGGGAGGGGAAGAGACAGAGAGAGAAACATTGATGTGAGAGAGACACATCAATTGGTTGTCTCCTGCTTGCGCCCTGACCAGGACCGGGAATCAAACCTGCAACTAAGGTACATGCCCTTGACTGGAATTGAACCCGGGATCCTTCAGTCCTTGGCTGACACTCTATCCACTGAGCCAAACTGGCTAAGGCAAAATGTTTTATATTTTAATGAATTATAGAGAGCAAGTGAACTTGGTCTTAAGCCCTGCCTTTGTCTCCACCCAGACGTGAATCTACTTGGATTTACTTCTGAGGCCACCTCTATGGAGACTGAACAGTGCCTATGCCATATAAATGGCTCTGTAGCATTGAAGAAAACAACTCGAGGGACCATGGCTGGGTCATCCAGGTTCAGGCCTTTACTACATGAATTTACTCAACCCTCCCTCAGCCCCACTTTCCCATTTACGACATGAGGATATTAGTAACACTTTTTTCTTAGCGATTGTAAAGATTTAATGGGCTAACATATTAGAGAACTTGGTACCGTGCCTGATGCATTAGTGTTCTAGGAAGATGCCTTTTATTATCAAATCGGCAGAGCAGGCAAAGGCCTCAGACAAAGGAGCTCACGATTAAATTGTCCACAGAACCTAGAACTGGGTACCGTACGGTGAGTCCTGGTGTCCCTCATTGTCTCTCAGTGTCCCCACCTCATTGTTTCTCTTTCATCTTGCCCATGGTCTCAGTGTCTAGATTTGGCTTTTTACTATGGAGATCACAACTCTATAACCACACACACACACACACACACACACATCACACCCAAACACACACGCACATACACACACGCACGTGCGCACACACACTCTCACACTCAATCACACACACACACACACACGCACACTCACACACTCACACACACTCACAGTAGTCTACACGGCTGTTCCCAGTGGTGCTCTAGTCTCCCTGGAGGACCAAGGCTCCTCCCTGAGTCCCAGTCCTTTTGGTGGCTCTAATATCCTGCTCTTGCCAGCCCTACCCCAGGGCCTGGGGGCGGGTCATGATGTTCATGCTTCCAGGTTCTACAATGGCTGGATATACCGTCTCATCCTGCTTTTCCTATATTGGGTGCAAGGACTCTGGTTCCATGGGTCAGTTGAGAAACAAATTGGGGAAATATGCGGTAACCCCACGTAAGCAGGTTTTCCCTCTCGGAGGACTTCTTAGTGCCCTTAATAAGCAAATGCATATTGAAAATCCCCAAGAGCAGAACTGGCAGCATTTCCCAAACTTCTCTGTCGATGAACCTCTTCATTTAAAGAACATCTTTCTGTACTGGGCCACAGAGTCCAAAATTTGAGCTGTTGGAGGGTACAGAGTGTGTTCTGTCCATTGTGGTAAGCTACTGTCTGACACATAGTAGGTCCTCTATTGATGTTGTCCGAGTAGAATTGCATTCTCATAATTCACTGTCGCTTTGCCTTATTCCACACTGACCAGAGCTGTGTATAACTTGTCCACTGAAAAGAGTGGACAACGCTGTCTGGGCATCTTTCACAGCCAGGCATGCTTCACTGCCTCCTTTGAGCTCCTTTTTGCCCCTTGGAGGCCGTTGGAGGAACTGGAGTCAGCAGTCATTCACCAATTCCAGCCCAGGGCGATGCTCAGAAGGTAAGCATGAGGACAGCTGTTCCATTGCCTATGGGTGGCATCTGCACCTGACCCCTTGCCTAAGTCCCACTCCTGGACTCGAAGGAAAAGGGCCCATTCATTTCCGTCAGCCCAGCAGCCGTGCTCCAGAGCTTATCTCGTGCCTATGCCGACTTCCCAGTGGCG